TTCTTTTCTTTGGTTGTTTTTTTAAGTCTTAAATTCTCCATTCTCTTTCCCCCTTTCCTTTTTCTTCCCGACATAAAATTGCTTGTTCATTAAAGATGGCTTCTTCTTTGTCCCAGTCTTCTTGTTTTGCAGTCTTTTCTTGTTGTTTCTCATAGTTCCAAATCTCCATTTCTAAGAATTGAAAAACAAAGCCAAAAGAACCCTTCCCTTCTTGTGCATCTTCTTTGTACTTTTTAAGTTCCATTTTCAATTCATCCAGAAGTGGTGCCATTGTATAAATTTTTAATCAACCACCCGATTGATTTTAGTCATTCAAATATAATAACCAAGAATCCAAAGAACACCAAATAATCCAAATATATGCAAGCTGTTTCTTTTTTGCTCTTTTTTTTCACTTTCTCTTCCTGGGGTCACTATTTAGTTGCAAAGTTTCAGTTAAAATGTATCTTTTAGAAGTCTTGTTGAAGTTTTACTGTAGATTCTTTTTAATTCCAGGCAGTCTCCTCCCTCTTCCAGATCCTGCCCTTATTCTTTTTTTCTCCCTTCCTGCTTATGAAAAAGAAAAATTTTAATGTCCAGAAATCTTTATTATCCCTTTGGCATTTTGTTTTATTTTCAGCTTAATTGCCTATTGATGTCAAAGTGGATTTTTCTGATTTCTTATTTAATTCTCTTAGTTGTCAGTATAGGGAAGGAGAGAGAAGGGGGAAAAAAAGGCAAACCTATCCCTTTTCACTTTCCTTCACTGCTTCCGACTCTTCTTTGGGAGCGATGTTATTTTTTGTAAGTTTAAATTTCAGGGTACCTTAGTTGTTGCTTTTACAATTTAACCCGGTCAGCCAAAACTTTCACTTCTTATCTTCCTCCTGCACATTCTTTTCTGGTCAAGTTCTCCTTTGTGGTGGCCATTTCTGACCACCGCTGCAACTACCTTCAGGAAAGGGAGTAATGGCCAGCTGAGGAGGAGAGATGCAGCTCTCCTCAACCCTGCTGGTGGTCTCCCCCCTCTTCACCACCTCTACGGGGTGGCTTAGCCCCAAAACCAGCTGGCTCCGGGCGCTCCAGCAGCGAGCCCAGACAGAAACAGCGCACGATTGCGGATTTCTGTCTGTCGCCGAAGCCCTTCAAACCGGAAGTCCCCAAGAATTCCCAACTCTTAATTTATGCATCTGGATGGTATGTATCAATAAGAACCAAAAAAATCAACCCCCAACAAATGTAAAATCAGTATAACAAATCGTAAATGATTATTCATAGGCAACAATGGAAATAAATATTCCCTAACACAACAAAACAGGCTCAATTATCATCCCAGCCTGATTAATCTAACACTGTTTATGAAGTCACATCATTTCTGTGCATATAAACATATATTTTATCTTATAACAAAACAGAAAGCACAGTTCATCAGCAAGCGAATGACAGTTGTGCAAGGAGAAACACAAATGTTCAAAACATTTTTATATTAACAACTGTTTAAATTTCCAATGCCTCATAAAAGGTTAATGGCAAAAACAAAATAAAACAAAATGTTCACATTTGTAGTAAAGTCATTGCTGTATGTATATGTATACATGAATATGTATTCATCCATTGTGGTTGTATCCATCTGGCACCCAGACATACTTGTCAGATACAGTATATGTACAAAACCTATAGTCCAAAAGGCCACCTCCCTCACTTCAAAAGAATTCTTAAGAGCTCCACAGTTCCTGTAAACAGGGGTATCAACTATCCTGATCACTTTTCAGGATCTGTGCTGAAAACCAAAATTAAAGAAGAGAAAGCCTGTTTCACCTCTGCTCTATCTACACAATAGCATCATTCCAAAGCCAACTATCCCTACTTTCCTTGTGTCTGAAGTATTTTCCTCCTTGAATGTTGTTTTCACCGTCTACATTTACAATGCCTCATAATGGGGCTGGTTGGTGTTGCTACCTATACACATTATAACATGGAAAAGTTTCAGGGCAGTGGTTGGTATGATACCTGCTGTACTTGCTCCTCTCATCCTGTATCACTGACTGGTAGAAAGGGTGGAAGGGTATATGACAACTCGATGTCGCCAGCTCAGCATGCCCAGCTGGAGGCAGCCATCTCACTACTGACAAGTTCCCTCTCCCAGCTTGGTGACGCCATTTCTTCTCAGGACATGTCAACACTGGAGAGTTGCTCTGCTCTACTCTGCAACTTTCCGGTGTTGACATGTCCTACCAAAAATATGACAGCACTGAGTTGGCAGAGGGGATTTGGCAGTGGGGAGTAGTCCACTCCCAGCTGGCCACCTCGAGCTAGCAGCACTGAATCATCCCATTCCAAAATAATCACTGTCCCCAAACCTCTATTTTGGCCAGCCTTGGTGCTTTGCAGGAGGCACTGCTTGGAGCCTTTCCTAAAGACCTTTAGAAAGCAACTGCAATGTCCCTGGTGGAGACTAACTCTGAGGGAGAGGAGGAATAGCTGACAGGGAGTGGAAGTGTGGCTCCAGAGGTTGTGGAGGAGGCTGGAGAAGGGCAGAGGCTAGCTGCGCAGTCAGAGGAGGACCCAGGCCCATCCCCTCTCCATCCTAGGGCACGCAGGGAGGAGAGGATAAGGGAGAGATGTGATCTATGGGGAAGGAGAAGGGCTTGATCCTCTTCATGGGCTGCAGCTGTGACAACTGGATAAGAGGACGGACATGCGTATGGGCCAGTGCTGGAAACAAAGCGTGGAAATATTTCTAGTTTCTTGTTCCTCTCTGAGTTTGGCGTCCTTCCCAGTGTGTGTTCTGATATATGTGGACATCTTCAAGCCCTTATCTTGCCTGGTTTGTGTTGTTTCTTACTCTTTATAATTTAAATGGCATTTCCTCCTTCTTGTAACTGCTTGTGTGGGAGTTTTTTTGTCTCCAGTCAAGGATATTTGGAGCTTGGAAGCAAAGTGAAGGAAAGAGCTTCACCTGTTTTTTGTGACTGTGTTTATTGTGTATCCTACCCTGGGTCATCACAGCAACATTCAGCATTGCAAACTGCCACACTTCAATCCCGGTTTACATGCTAAGAATTATGCAGTGTTATTGATGCCTCAATATTGCTATGGACAGAACTTTTTAACAACTGGTATAGTATGTGACTCCAACCTTTGGGAAACCCAAAAGTACTTTTTCAAGAGTCAACTGGACTTTCTGGTTTAACCAGAAAGTCCCGTTGCCTCTTGAAAAAGCACCCATAGAACAACCATGACCTGGATGACTGAAAATCTCCATAAAATCTTTGTGGGGGGAAATGTCCTTGAGGGAAATGTCAGCTGCTGTGCATGAAAAGGGTGAGAGGCTACCTTGCAAACAAATGTTGCCATCAGTCTGGGGTCATAAAGGGAATATCAACCTCCTAGAAGATCCTGGCTAGGTTTTTCATAAGGTCAATATTTCCATATGCAAACAACAAAAATTAGAATAGTCAGGCAGTGTCCATGAAATGAATGCACAGACTCTCATCCTTGAGAAAGACAGAACACGGCCTTCACAGCCTACATTTACAGTGCCTGGCAATGGGACTGGGTGGTGTTGCTGCTAACACACATTATAACATGGAAAGGTTTCAGGGCAGTGGTTGGATAGGAGGAGGAAAACACAGAGTGAGCCACCTGGAGTACAGCAGATTGCCATCCTCTGAAGACTCCTCCATGGGACCTATTTGTCAGGTTGCTCAGCTGGCACAAGCTGGAAATTATTAATTAATACTAAAACAGTCTTAGTCCAACTGCAGCCTTCTTCAGCAGAAGGCCAACCATGAGGTGAAGATATTATTATGAGGATACATCTTCAGCATATGAATATCATACATATGAATGAACCAGGGGTGGGGTGCTACCAGTTCTGCCCGGTTCTATAGAACTGGTAGCTCTGAAGAGCAGCAGACCCTGAACTGGTTCTGCATTTGCTGCTGTTTGGCCCACCCACCCACCCGGGCTCTTACCTGTCCTTTATTTCCTGCTTTTTCAACCTGGAGAAAAGAGGGTTTTCAAATGCTGCATACCTGCATGCTGCGCTTTTCAGCTGTCCGGGCAGCACAGCTTAAGGTGCAAAACGTAGTCACCAAACCGGTAGTAACATTGGCTGAATCCCACCCCTGGAATGAACCTACTATGTATGATTTTTTTTTATTTACATTACTTTGATGTAAAAATTGCTTCCAACTTCCATTGCTTTTACTGAACGGTTTGGATTTGTGATTTTACAAATTCAACTGCAGAATGAGTTGACAGCATAGGATAAACATTTCAGAAAACTTGGGGGAAACTTTTCATGTGAGTGCCAAATTTAAAAGCCAGTTCAGTCACCTCCTCAATTCCTTGTCACCGAGCACACAGGTTGCATCTGAGGGGAGCTAAAATATCAGGTATCAAGAGGGCATGAATTTGTCTAACATTGGCTTAAAAACTGTCTACAGGTAATTGTTCCCCAATACTGAAAAGCAGCTATCTGGTGCATAACCCCAAAGAAAAGAAAAAATGGAGTTGAATTTGGTCCAAATCAACAATGCTGTAGTCTCAATTTGAATAAGAGGTTCCTGTACATTTCCATACTTACGAAAATGAAAAAAAGAAAAAAGATAGTTCTGATCTCAAAGCTCTAGTTCTCCTATCTAGGCAAGACTTCAGAAAACATTTTGGAATACACTTTAATAGCACTAGAAATAGCACTTATAAACCGCTTTCTAGTGCTTTACAGCCCCCTCTAAGCGGTTTTACAGAGTCAGAATATTGCCCTCAGCAATCTGGGCCCTCATTTTGCCGACTTCAGAAGGTTGGAAGGTTGAGTCAACCTTGAGCCTGGTGGGATTTGAACTGCCAAATTGCAGGCAAGCCGGTAGTCAGGAGAAGTAGTCTGCAGTACTGCATTCTAACCACTGCACCACAGAGGCTCTTGGGAATTCACATCCAGTTATGCAGACTGAATGCACAAACACCTCATATATAAAGAAAGCTCTTAGGTCATAAACATGCACTAACAGACATACATCACTTAGCTTTTCTATGTCTTGAGAGCAAGCCGCTGCTTTTTTTTGCTCCTTGTTCACTTCTGAGACAAGCCTCATGATGGTTTCTCTGTTGGCTTTCAGTTCCATCTCATGAATTGTTACAGTTTCTCTGAAGGTATCTATTTGTTCTTTTAGCATGTTATTTTCTTCACGCATTCCACGAATCTGGAAGCACCAAAGTGAGATATGGTGTTCAAATGGGTAATTTAATCATTGTTCTTTTCAATGTCACTAAATTGATGTTTAAATAGTTTTGCTTTGTCATATTACAGTTGTACCATTAAAGGGGGGGAGGGTTGAAATGGAGCATTTTAGCATCTGCACTGTCCTCTGTGGTCATATATAACCTTGGTAGTAGAATTTAATCTAGACTTCCTTGTATGGAAATGCAGGAGAATTCCCATTAGTTTATAAAATATATTCTTTCCTTGCTATTAGGAACTGGGGAATTATCTGCACTAGCATTTATGTTGCTATTGTAAATTTAATTCATTTTTACACTACATTGTCCAGTCTCCAACCCTCAACATTCCATTTTGTCCTGACTGTTTTTATGACCATTTTTTCATTTTTAATTTTCCATGTTCCAATTGTGCAACTTCCATTATAGGTATGATATCACTCTCACCGGTGGGACTGGTTTTAATGATAAGAAACATTCTTCTCTGGCTTCCAGAAGGGGAAGAAAGATCTACAAGCAGGAAGTCACAGATTCCCCCTCCAACCTCAAGCTATTTGTCAGTGCATATGGACTACAAGTGCACAGCTGTGACTAACCCTCAATTTTTATTGTGAAAAGCCTATATTACTTGAACAGCTGCTCATATAATTACCAGATCCAAAATAAAGTAAAACAAAGCAAGATGAGAAGACAGTACTTTGTGTGCACCCTAAGAACACAAGGAATAAACCACCTGGGAACCTTACTTCTACCATTACAGCCCTACACCATAGTATATACCATTTTATTGCCTGATAATGCAACAGAGACAGTCCATTCATTAATATGTTCCCACCAAGGAAAAGAAACTTCTTCTGGGGGAGTGAGGATTACAATACCTAAGATACCAAAGTCGTTGTAATGAAGATCCTGTTAGAATTTTCTACTACTTGTAATTAAAACTTGGAGAAAATGGTTTAACATAACAAATCAGAGATTAGAAACCAATAGCTGCCTCCCGTTGGTAAACAACTACTCTTCTGGCAACTGGTGTATGAGAAGTGTGTACCAGCAAGTGATAGCTACAAGCTTCATCCCTCTTGTGTGAAGACCATAAGAATCAAGTGGTCTTCATGCAAGAAGAAGCAAAACTCCATCCCTTCCTCCTCATATGAAGAAGACAGTTTTCTAAGTAGCCTCTTGAGAGTATGCTATTAAGATATATTTTAGGCTAGATAACTGCACAAATATAGTTCATGTTCAAAAGGTAATCTAGATTTTGTCTGGTAGAACAGTAAAAATAGTAGCTGAATTTTTCGATTTGTCATTCCTTGCAGTCTAGATCAAAAGTAGGCATTTAAGCTACACTGAACATGCCATGGGCCCCCTCAGGAAGTTGAGGCAGGGCTCACAAAATACTGATTTGTTACATTAGCTACAATTTTCTAGGGTTACCCATTGTGTTAAGCTACAAACTCTAGTTTACAAACCACAATGGCTGTTTTTTACAGCATGCTAAGCCACAAAACCACATTATGGTTTTATGGCATTATGCATGGCCCAGTTATCATCTTCATTTCTTGTCTTATTGCCATAATTATATCCTTCCTTTTTTAGTACATCTTTGAACTAAAGATGTACTAAACTAACTAACATCTTTGAGCTTTGAAACCAAAGCTGCCTGCTGGTTAGTTTTTTTTTCCCCAGACTCACTACTTGTAATGGTTTATTTATGATAATTATAATAGTAATGTTATACCTGGCTAAAGTATTAGTATTTTTATTATAGTATTTTAATTAGTGCTTTATCTGGCATTGCTTTTATTGATTCCCTTACAGCTGTTATACTGAATGTAATCCATTAAAAATGAGAGTCTTAATGTTATGCCTTCTGCCAACTTCATATTTTGTATGATTACAATGTATGATCTGTGTGGGTTTTTTCCTGGTTTTAGATTTGTTCAGAAATTATAAAATCATACTGATGTGTTAAAAGCTTTACTGAATAGCCAGGTGGAAAGTAACTATTATTAAATGTTAAGGAGAATGTGTGCAATAGTGGTGAAAAATTGCCTTTTTGTTTATTTGTTTTGTTTTACTATTATTAAATATATATACCGCCCATCTTGCTGTTTGTGGCAACTCTAGGCAGCTTGCTTTTAGACTGCCTCCTGCTGTCCCTAGTCTGTGGTTTCATCAATCCTGATGATTTTGGATGTCAAGTAAATAAAACAATAGCTCTCTTTGACTTAACAGTCCCTCTCTCTGATATATTGTTAAATCCGGATAAAAGTAAAGAAGTGTTCAGCAGACTCCAAACAAGTTCCCCCCAAAGTACAGGTAGTTAAGAAAAAGTTACGTGGGTCAGCAGAAATTCTGATCTGAGTGGAAGTCTACAGTCAATTTCAAAAGAGATTTCCCCCAAATATGAAGTTAACTAGAGCTACAGATCTTGGCTGCAAAATTCCAGATCACAACAGAAATAGGAACAAACAGCTCAGTGCTCCATATTTTTCTGCTGCCGTCACATAGCTATTTGGCTTTCTGCAACCAAGATCTGAAGATACTTCTGCTCATATTGAAAATTGGAGCTCCCAAGAGCCTTTTACTCAGAGGTGGGATTCTACCAGTTCGCACCTATTCGTTAGAACCAGTTGTTAACATTCTAAGCAATTCGGAGAACTGGTTGTTAGAAGAAATTACTGGCCTAATCCTGTAAGGAAGGTAGGAAGGAAACATTCTGGTGCTGCTTATAGAAACTGCCTCTCTGTTAACCCTTATAACATTCTTGGCAGGACTGGACTTCCTGTCTCAGGAACGTCTCTGGAGTTTTTTTCCCTTCCTTTGCTGGTACTTTACTTGTGTGGAGTGACCGTTCAAAGTTACAATGGCACTGAAAAAAGTGACTTATGACCATTTTTCACACTTATGACTGTTGCAGCATCCCCACAGTCATGAGAGGCCAGGCGAGGAGATGCGTGACTCTATGTGAGTGATATTAAGTTGGCCACACCCAGCCAATAACATGACCACCAAGCCACGCCCACCAACTTAGCCACGCCCACAGAACCGGTTGTTAAAAAAATTGAATCGCACCCCTGTTTTTACTTGCTTGGTTGAATTTGTGAGCTGCAACCTTATTTAAAGAAGAAAAAAATCTGATTGCAGTTAACCTAAATTTATTACATCCAGACCAGATTACTATTTACTTTGAAGAGCTGAAAACAAATTAGAACTGTAGGCTGGTACATAATTCAGAATGCATATGGTAACTATGTACATTGATCATATAATACTAATTTTGCATTATTTACAAGCCTAAATCAAAGTGCAAGTTTTAGTATTTAAAGTCCTGAATCGAGTGAGAATGTGTTTTTATTCCCTGAGCATATACACACCTGTCCAAATAATAAGAATGGCTTTAATAGCCTGTCAGCTCCATCAGGAAAAGTATTTTACAGGGAGTCCTCAACTGACGACAATCAATCCCAAAAGTTTTGTTGCTAAGCAAGAGAGTTGCTAAATGAATTTTGCCCCATTTTGCAACCTTTGTGGACCCATTTGTTGAGTGAATCACTGCAACTGTTAAATTAGTAACACAGATGTTAAGTGGATCTGGCTTCCCCATTGACCTTGTGTGTCAAAAAGTCACAAAAGATGATCACAATTGTCGTAAATACATATCAATTGCCAAGCGCTCCAATTTTATCCTGTGATCTTGGGGTTGCTGCAACAGTTGTAATTGTGAAAACCCACCATAAGTCACTTTTTTCAGTGCTGTTGTAACTTTGTACGGTCGCTAAATAAACGGCTGTAAGTCAAGGACTACCTGTATTGTTCCTTTGAATTCAGAATGAAAGCGAACAAATCACTTCCAAAAAGAAAGGTTGCTAAGAAGACAGGCAATAGACAGCTGGCCAGAGGAACGGAATGGAGAAGGGGGAGAGAGGAGGGGAGTGGAGGAGAGGGGAGGAGAGGAAAGGGGAGGAGAGGAGAGAGCTACTGTCATGCCCCTGGTGGAGACTAACTCTGAGGGGGAGGAGGAACAGCCAACAGGGAGTGGAAGTGTGGCTCTGGAGGTTGTGGAGGAGGCTGGGGAAGGGCAGAGGCCAGCTGAGCAGTCGGAAGACGACCCAGGCCCATCCCCTATCCATCCTAGAGCACGCAGGGAGGAGAGGATAAGGGAGAGATGTGGTCTAATCCAGAGGAGAGGGCTTTGATCCTCTTCATGGGCTGCAGCTGTGATAACTGAACAAGTGTTTGGACCCGCGTCCTGGTGAACACTGGAAACAAAGTATGTTTTATTTTGGTTTGAAGTTATCTTGGTTGGCGTCCTTCCAACAGACAGTGCCTTGTTATCTCCTTGAATTTGGTAAATACTTCTCCTGTTCTGTTGTGGAAATTTCATCATTGTAGTTTGTTTGGTTTTTTTTATTTTACCTCTATCTGCTCATTAAGTTCGGACTGTATTGCTTTCTTTTGAAGACTATTTTTGAGTACGTTTTATCTCCAACTGAGTATTATTGAACAGTGGAGCCAAGTTGGAGGCATTAAAGGACATTTATTTACGTTTTGGATTTTGTTACATTTGTATCCCACCCTGGGTCATCACAGCTACTCTGACAATATACAATTAAGCCTGGAGGAATGATTAGGTTGGTGTAACTCATGCAAGAAAAAGATGTCTAAACTATACTATCTGTTCATGAAATTTTATTTTTGAATATAGTTTTATGATCTCTAAGATACTACCTTACCAAGAAAGCAGCAGACAAGCAATGTAACATCAAAGCTCAATATATGATCTCTACATTTATTATTGGGGGATAATGGCAGGCAGCTGTTCCTAGAATAACCTTGGGTTAAATTCAGGGGTGGGATGATACCTGTTTTGCCTGGCTCTATAGAACTGGTAGCTCTGAAGAGCAGCAGACACCAAACCGGTTCTCTCTTTGCTGCTGTTTGGCCCACCCACCCGCCCACCTGGGCTCTTACCTGCCCTTTATTTCCTGCTTTTTCAACCTCAGTTGCTTTGCGCGGCACAGCTGAGGTTGAAAAAGCAGGAAAAAAAGACGCTTTTCAAACGCTGCGCACCCATGAGCAGTGCTATTCAGCTGTCCCGGCGGCACAGCTTAAGGTTTTTTACATGCACTGTTGGGTATATGGATACACCAACTAGGTTTGGGTGACTAAATATAT